ATGTATGTATGTATGTGTGGTAATGTAATGTAATGTCATGTCATGTCATGTCATGTCATGTCATGTAATGTAATGTAATGTAATGTAATGTATGTATCGATATTATATCTGTATATATGTAATTTACATATGAATTATGTAATGTAGTTTCTGCATAATGTGGTAATAACTATGTTGGGATATCAATGGATTTACCCCCTGGTGTCATCAAACATGGCTGGCAATGGAAAATTCCCCGCACTAAATGCAGGTGTATAGCTGGGAAAATCCTGGAACTAATCGTGGATTTTTCCATTACTATGTTTGATTGCTATGAACATCATGGAACTGAGTAATCTGGGTAAAACAATCAGAAACCACCATTTGTGAATGGTAAACATACCACCTATAAAAATGGTGATGACTGGGGGATGGTTTATGGCATTGTTTTACCCACATTATTATATGAGCTATGGTCAATACTCATGGTTATTATAACCATTAATAGGGGCTAGTCATCCAATGGTTCATGGGATTTATAATAACCATTATAAGGATCCTTATTATGGATGGGATGACCATCAACCATATAGTGAGTATTGACCATGGCTCATATATTACTATGTTTGATTTCTGGTGTGAAGAGCAGGGCACTGAGTCGGCTGTGGACGTCTCACCGGATGTTCCTGGATGGCCAGAGAAGGCTTTGATTTTGGAGAAGGCACAGTTTTGGGGAGGCGTAGGGAACCAAGATTTCAACCAAGAGACCAAGAGTTCCTAGAATTCAGCAGTTTTAGCACTATCGGATCCAATTTGGCAGTCAAACATTCTGATCATTTCTGATCCATCGTCCCTCAAAATGAAAACCACACTCCGAATGGTACTCCTCAATCTGGGTTTAAAAGTGGATGGATTCAAAATTATCCCATCGATATCACTCATCGATTTCAACCCAGCCAGGAGCCCAACATCATTTTTCATGTGATGGAGTCGACACCTCAGCGGTGAATTTTGATGTTTTGGAAGTCCACCAAGGTAAAGTTCCACAGCTAACATATGCCTAAGACATGCCGATGTGCATAAGATATTTCTAAGATAGGCCTAAGATATCTGAGATCATTCCTGGTTGGTGGTTTGGAGGTTTTTTTAATTTTCCCATATATTTTGAATAATAATCCAAACTGACTTTCATATTTTTCAGAGGGGTTGGCATACCACCAGCCAGATTCAGATTTTTACATTTAAAAACTTGGGATTTGTCAAGTTCGAGGAACAACTGTTTGATTTTTGCAGCACTTGAGAAGGTTCGGCCCAGAGGGTTTTTTTTGGGGATGGACCTGGTCACTTCACCAGATTTTTTTCTGGTTAAAAACCACTTCACCAGTACAATGAGATGAGTTAAACATGTTCTATACATGTTCCATCGGAACAGAACTAATTAATATTAATTAGAATAATACAATAGGAGTGTGTAAAAAACCTGTTTTGGCCATAATTCATGGCCCGTTTCTTTTTAAGCTCAGACCATGTTGATGTCGCGCTCGCGTAGCCCGAGGCCGGGCTACATGATCCACGACCGCACCTTGAGGGCGGCCAAAGTGGGTGTCACCAAGTGAGGCGATACCAGGCGCGGTTTGCGGATTTCGCTGGTGAATGGATCAATTGATTCCCCCTGGCCATATGGGGGTTATAGCTGGTGAATGGAAAAACATGGAAAAACCTATTTTTTCCCAATAATATGGGTCCTGAATGGGTTTTGACCCATCCGAAATTATGAGGGTTTAACAATGTTTAACATGATTTTTCACGAAGAAATGTTGACATGGACTGGGGATGTTTGGATTGAACATCAATAGATTTCAACAGACCATGACAAAACCAGACGAATTTATTTGATGATACTGGGTTTTTTCTGGATATTTGTTGGGGCTATTGGGATATCATGGGATACCCTCTGGTAAACTAACATAGCTATTGAACATGGCTATTTATAGTGAGTTTTCCCATTAAAAATGGCGATTTTCCATAGTTATGTGGCAGTTTACCAGAGGGTATGTCATACTGTGGATGGAAGAAATCCTGCACCAGTTAATAGGTGGTTTATCCCATTATTTATAGGCTTTCTACCATCCCAGGTGTGCAGGATTTCTTCCATCCACAGTATGTCACCATTTTGATGTAAACGAGGCTTCAACTCGGGGCTGCCGAAAGCAAATGGTGCTGGGATTTCCCAGCCACGTGGCTGATTACCAGAGGGTATATCCATCAATATTCTAATAATAATAGTAACAACAACAATATACATATATATATATATATATCCCGTTATAATCCCTCTTAAACAACATAAAACCATATTAAACCACCATTAAACTACCATTAAGCCTCCATTTCATGGGGAAACTTGAGCCAACAAACATCAGCCCAGGCCGCCCAGGATTTGGGTGATCCTCAAGGGTGAGCAGTTGCGTTGAGCACCAGGCTTCTTGAGGAAATTTGACCCGAATCTGTCTCAAGCAAAAAGCTGCGGCAGTGATGGTGCTGTTCACCCGGAAGTTTCCAAATGGAACTATTATATACTATCATACTATTGCCATTTCCAGGCTTCCAGGAGGCTAATCACTCACTCATTTTGAGCCATTTTGATCCGTTTTGAGCGTTCCATGTTAGTGTTGTCATGCTTACAAGCAGTAATTGAATTCTTTAAATCCAATTACCGTTGACGATTTCATGCGGGCCGCCGACGGCGGGTGGCATCACCGTGGGTCACCTGTCACAGCATGTTGGATGAGAATGCCAGCTAGTAAATGCTAGTATCAACCGCATCAACTATATTTAACAAAAGTCAGTTATACATAGTATCATAGTATGTGGAATAATAAATGCATTACATATGTACACATTATATCTATCTATATATTTATGGTGTGATCAAAGTTAATCCCCAATCATTAGGCGGATTGCGGATTAAACGGATTGCGGATTATGCAAGAACTCTTCGCTCGGTGTCAGGCTCCCGTGTAAAAGTTAAGACCCCCCGTGCGCTTGAATCTTGCTAAGCCATGGCCGACGAGCGCTGTGTGGCAACTGCGTTCATGTTGTGGTGGCAAGACAGCAAGGATAAAGTGGGCAGAGGAGCCGCAACGTCTAAACGTGGGAGCCGAGGTCCGACGTGGAGCTCACCGTGACCGAGGTCTTTCTGGAGAGGAGTTACAAGGTGCCGGGTCTATGTGTGTGCGTGTGGCTACCCTCCCCCCGTCTTCTTCTCTCTTTTTTTTCTGTTCTTCTCTCGTATTCTCTCCATTCTCTCCTCTTCTCTCTTCTTTCTATTCTTCTCTCTTCTTCTCTGCTCTTATCTCTTCTTGCCTCTCCTTCACTCTTCTTCGCTCTTCTTCTCTCTTCTTCTGTTTTCTTTCTCTCTTCTTCGCTCTTCTTCGCTCTTCTTCTCTCTTTTCGTATCTTTTTCATTTCATCTTTTTTTCTTTTTTCTTTTTTCTCTCTTCTCTCTCTCTCTGTCTCTCCGTCTCCCTGTCTCCCTCTGTCTCCCTCTGTCTCCCTCTGTCTCCCTCTGTCTCCCTCTGTCTCCCTCTGTCTCTCTCTGTCTCTCTCGGTCTCTCTCTGTCTCTCTCTGTCTCCCTCTGTCTCCCTCTGTCTCTCTCTGTCTCTCTCTGTCTCCCTCTGTCTCCCTCTGTCTCCCTCTGTCTCCCTCTGTCTCCCTCTGTCTCCCTCTGTCTCCCTCTGTCTCCCTCTGTCTCTCTCTGTCTCTCTCTGTCTCTCTCTGTCTCTCTCTGTCTCTCTCTGTCTCTCTCTGTCTCTCTCTGTCTCTCTCTGTCTCTCTCTCTCTCTCTCTCTGTCTCTATTCTTCGGGGTTGGTGCAAGTGTTTAAGGCAATTCAGTACATAAGCAGCCCAGCGGGATGCAAGTGTTTCCTCTCTCTCTCTCTCTCTCTCTCTCTCTGCTCAGCCTATACCCCGCTGAGCTGCTTGTGTATTTAATTGATTCAATCAATTAAATGAGAACTCAAAGAAAAGTGAAAAAGATATTTGGCGAGGGAAGAGGCAGATTAGTTAGGACTTTTGGGGCTGAAGGCTGTCTGCAGCACAATGTACAATCCTAACAAACACATAGATCAGACTGGGGAGGAAAGCCTTCCACTACTTGACATGTGAGTTAGGAGCATTCACTTACTCGGAAAGCGGCAGTTACCATTACCAACAGTTTTGCCAGTTTGCGCTGTGGCCGTGTAAAGTTGAACCAAATGGCTCATGAGTATGCACTGTATACACACACACACGAGATGGGATTACCATGAATTCAACCCAAATCTAAATCCCAACTCATGTGACATGTCGCGTGCTCCAAAGGCCTCACTTAACTACATGAGATGGGACTCAACAACCAATTTTTACATCTATTTCCTAACTCATATCTCATTTTCAGCTATTCTCAGGACGCTCCAGTGCTGCGATAGCCACTTGAGTTAGGAGTTACCCTGGCAACTCCTATCTCACAGAGGGACACTGCTCAAAACATAGAAAACTTAATACTGATTTTCATGTTTTTTTTGTTTAAAATGCACTAAAACCCCTCCTGAGTTAGGACTTACATACATTTTTTCGATCCAAAAAACAATTTTTACATGAGTTAGGAAATTCAATTTTCTGGTTCGTCCGCAGAGGCCTAAGTCATCCTGACCTAGTATATCTCAATCTCGGTCGACCTCGAAATTTCATGTTTTGCTGAATCAGTCCCAAACTACATAGCGTTCGCCAGTGAATAGACAAGACACTGCACGTCTGAAAATCTCCAAAACATGTATCAAATCACAAACGCCAGTGGACATTCGCACAGGGCACCCAACTTAATCATGTGCAAACCATTGCAGACCAAGACCATCAAGAACCATCAATGATCTTCAGTAATGACTAGTCATGAACAATAAGCAGTTCCGTCAGCAATAATTAATTTAAAAAAACACACACACACACATTATCAACCATGTACAAACCATTTATCAAAAATTATTGTAGTGGCATTCCAAAAACATCCCAAAACAATAAGCGCAGGGCCTGGCTGCCAGAGCCCGGAGGTGCTTCTGGCGCGGCCGTGGGCGACCTTAACGAATCATGGTGACATCATGGCTCGTAGAAGGCGCAGGAGCGGAATGACATCCTGAATCAATCTAAATCCATCTATATAAATCCATCAGCAATGCATCCAAAACACATCAAAACACACAAAAACACACAAAAACTGACAAGTCTGACAAGTGTTGTTCGCTCGATTCGCTCGCGTCAAAATCCGAGGGGCCAAGTGGACATGGCGATGCCGGTACTCTTGCGCCGCAAGGCCACCTGGAAACACGAAACAGTTTCCAGGATTTGGATCTGCCTGCCAGCACTACAAGAATATGTACATACATCTATAAGTACAATCATGTTGTATATATATATATAATATTATATGTATATATATATATATATATATATATATAGTCATACTACCCACCTATCTGGTCCTATCCCAAGTATCACCAATGATCCAATTTTCTGGGAAAAAATGTTGCTCTCATGATGTCTCCCAAGTCAAAAGTCGTTTTTGACACTGCCTTTCAAGCCATTCAAACAGGTGAAAATGGCCTCGGATGTCACCACCCAAAAAAGAAATGGAATCTGTTTTGTTTTAAGACCCAATTACCATTACGATTTAAATGTTTGAACTAACTTTTAAATTTACAATATATATATATATACATATACAATATATATATATATTATAATTATTATAATATAATATAATATAATAACTTATAATATTATATTATATTACATTACATTATATTATATATATTATGTTATATAATATATAAATACAATATTATATATAGTATATATATATATAATTATTATACATTATATATATAATATTACACATATCATATGTATATATATATATATGATACCTGGTATGATATGATATGATATGATAGATATTATATATAAATATAGTGTATAACTTTCATCTGCTTTTTTCCGAGTCACGGATGTTGCGATGGCTTGGCTGACCGCGCGATCCACAGCTGCTGACCGCTTGGCGGCCAAATCCACCGCCAACAGCCGGCTGCGAATCCCAATGCCTGTCAAGCGAAACCAAGTTTCGCAGCATGCTAAATCAAGAAGAACAGCCACTAATTGAAACATATGTGAACAAATTATTAAAAAATGAAAGGAAATTCCATGAAAAAAGAAATATATATATATATATGTATAAATGAATGCAGCACCCTGCCACCGAGACCATGAAATAGCACATAGAGTACAGCGCTCAGAATGGTCTGGTCCAAACTTCCACACCCAACACAAGACAAGTCATTGTCCCGCAGGAACAAACACCATAACAAATCCAGAAGGGTCCTGTGTGCCGATTGGTCCGTCGGATGTGCACGATCAGCACTGCTTGGCGATGAGAGCGGCAAGGCCGTTGCCAAATCTCCTGTCCAATTTCTGCCAGCCATTGTCCAATGTGTCCGAGGTCACGAATGTCTGGCATACCTTTATCCAATTCCCATTACTTTGCTACACGAGTGTGATCAACTCTGTCATCAACTTTCTCATCAACTTTGTCATCCATTGTCCTAAAAGCCAACCAAATGTTGGAAAGTAGACAAACCGCGTTGGAAAGTACACAAACCGCGTTTTTTGACCAAGCTTCTCCGAGAGTTTATCACAACAGCTATAAGGATGCATAAGGCATATTACTATAGAGCAGTCCTGAGCCAGGTCTTTCACCTCCTGCACTTGAGCCACACGCCTTGTGGCTGCACCCTCCAACTGTGTCGAAGCAAAAACTGCTTGGCCTGACAGGCTGAAAGTCTAAAGAAATCATTGAAATTGGTCAGACGGCGAAGATGAGCCAGTGTTTCAAGACCAAAACAATGCCTGATAACACCTGGGCATGAGCCCATCCGGCCTTGGCCATAGCACGGCCTTCTTGCCACGATGTGCGGCAAGCTCGTGTCGTGACTGGCATCAGTGAGGAGGTCAATGGGCGGCTGATTCTCCGCAATCTCGAGGGCCTGGACATCCTGACAGATGCCACATCCACACAGAATCCTTCGTTATCTGCGTTTTTCAACTCGTCTCAGCTCCAAGCCACTGCATTTCCTGGCACCAACAAATACCAACAAGATTATCGTCACAACATCATAGCAAGAATATGCAAGAATCACGTCTCCATCCCCGTCCTTTTCCCATCCTTTTCCCATCCTTTTCCCCTTCAGCCAGGCATCAAAGTGAATCTCCGAGCGCCAGTGCTCACGAGCTTTGATGAAGAAGAGATCATCCAACAGCCGTGGAAGAAGTCCAGGCTGCTCCGCAGAGCCACACCTGCACAGCGAAAACAGCAGCCATGGGTGTCTGAAATGGGGAACTTCCCCATTAATCCCATATATATACATGCAATTACACACACACATATATATATATATATAGACTAATAATGATTAATATAGGGCAAAAAATGGGCAAATATGAAATATGCTGCTAACCAAAGGATTTGTTTTTTTCAGTATATAACGGTATAGCCATGGTATACCCCCCATCTTTTGGAGAAAGCCATACTTTGGCTGGCGATCTAGGCACAATGTAAAGCTCATGCCAGCTCCAGGTGGACCACAAGCAATGAGACTCACATCTCTACCATCAATGGCTGCTTGGGCAAGACCAGTGAGCTCACCATAGACCTGTGCCTCGACTCAAAAGGATGGTCATAGCATGTCAATAGGCTGCCATGAATGTGTTTCAATATGTTTCAATCACTTCACTTTACACGTGTTTGCACGTCAGCATGTTCTGATGATGCAACACAGATGCAACTTCATGAAGTATTGACTAATCAAATGACTCTTGGTCACATTCCCTGTAAGAATGCATCTTTGACAGAACGTGATCTCATCATATCTCATCTACACACATCAATGCACATGATCTGATCTTCGGCTAAACAACTTGCCATTGCCCTTGCCTGTGTGCTCTCTGGTCCAAGCACAGCGCTGAAATCGCAGGTTGCGTAGCTGCCATCCAGCGCTATCTGCATCAAAACAGGTGCAGGCACCAAGGCCAACCAGCTAGAATAAGTGTGATGCCCCGGCCGGATGATGTCAGGTCTACACATAATCCATATAGAATATATAAGATAGACTTAATATTGCTTAATTAAATATAATACTAAATAAATGTGTATACATAGAATTGAATATAGTTATACAATGTTATGACATCATGCCGAAGCGAACCTGATCTTCAAACACGGTGACAAAATGATCTTCAAAATGTAACGGAAAAGTGCTCCCAAGTGCCACCTCCAGGGTGCGGCGATCCACACGCCTCAGAAACTCGGATGCACACAAGGCGAATCAGAGGCGAATGAGATTGGAACATATTGACAACATTTGACAACATTTGACAACTGAAACTTTCGACTGTTCAGTACGAGATGATCGATATTTATATATATTTATGCTTATTTGATCTTGTATTTGCATTATGTCATGTCATGTCATTGCGACATCTATGCCAAGGCGAAGGATTTTCATGTGCCCAGCCTCAACACAGGGGTGAGCCCGGCATTCATGCGCAATGCCTCGTGTAGTTCCTGCGTCAGTGGAGGTCGCACTCGGCAAATGGTGCGAAGACCACCTCGGCCCCCGGGGACTCGAGAGGTGTCATGACTAAGGTAAGAATGAAGGGATGATAGTAATAATTCCATCTAATTAATACCAATAATCACTGACAATCACTATGATCATCTATAATTAATCAATATAATCACATCATTCATTTTAAAGGTACCTTATGTCAGGATCCAGACGTCATATGAAATCATATTCGTGTAACAGCTTGTTGCTCCTTTGCTCGATTCTCATTGCCACATTGCCTGAACTGCCCTTCATTTCCCTTCCCACCGGCCAAGCAGCTTTGTGTCTCCGCCACCGAGCATCGCAACTCCTGGCGTTCCCTGTCCAACTCATCGAGGATGGCATTGGCTAAGCCATGCTGCTGAGCGCGCCTCAGCAGCTCCTTAGATCGCTGAAACTCATGGAACTCATGGAATCTGAGTCGAATCTCTGACAGGCTGGAACCAGAAAATAATCAAAAAAGTCATCAAAAAAGTCATCAAAAAAGTCATCTTTGTCATTACTTGTGTATAGGCAGGCCTATGGCCTGTATCCGACGAGATTCACTCAGTGCATCACACAGTTGCGTTGTTGCAGGCATGAGTAGGCGCTGATCCACACCCACCTGATGGAGATCTCCAAGTTTCCAAGGGCCACAGAAAATTCAACCGCTATCTGAATCTCACCCTGCGGGGACTATATGTGACTAAATTGACTAAATGATGCTATTACTAAGTGGCTCAATATGGCACAAGCATGCACACGCCAATGCGGGCACATTGAACTGACAAGTTCGCAAATTGAAATGACAAGGGATCCCCAAAGCAAAATCAACATAAATTTATAAATTTAAATCAATTCATATCAATTCTAAATATCTTTGAATCCCGAAAATCGACCTCATATATCCGTCAATATCCTGGTACCTTCCAAGTTCTCCAAAACGAACTAATCAGAACTACTCCGGCGATCCAACGGCGATCCAAGCTGCATCCGTGCAATCCGCAATGGCTCGGCGCAAGGCTCTCACATCCCGCGCAGCTGAGGCCCGTCGAAGCTGCTCCAGCGCCTGCTCGACCTAGTCGGGCAATCAATAAAACCTATGCCATCCCAGTAAAACGCAATGAAACGTCTCATTCATAATTACTGATGTCTCATTATATTGACGTGGGCTATAATGACTGGTAAGTATTGTCGATGAGGATGATGAGGATGATGAGGATGATGAGGATGATGAGGATGATGAGGATGATGAGGATGATGAGGAGGATGAGGAGGATGAGGAGGATGAGGATGATGATGATGATGATGATGATGCCGACCGTCATTTTCGTATCACATCCCATCATAGCGCGTCATGGCGTCTGGCACTTTTGGATCTTGTTTGCCCCATCTTGTGGAAGTGCCTAAGCACAGTGTGACTGTGTGACGCCCAGTTGGTCGGCCTCGCGTTCATCCTGCAGCAACTGCTCGGCTTGCTGCAGCTCTACCCCCACACGCCGAGCTCGGGCAATGGCAAGACGTAAAAGCTCGGCCTGATAGGGAACGAACGCCACTTGTTGTGTTGAAAAATGCGAGAGGCTTGAACTGGCTTAAACCACTTCATGTATCTTAGTGTCAACTTTATACAAATTATATCAAGCTGATATCATGTCATGACTTCGTGAGTTTTTCCAAATTTTACAGCGCCTGCGGTGGCTCATGGAACATGACGGCTCGCAGGGCTGCCTTCGCCTTCTCCTGGAGTCCCCAAGATTCTTCACGGAGTCACTGGCTGGTGGTTTCTATATGTTTCAATTCAACTCCCTGAAGAATATGTCGTTTTTTTTTTTAATTCATGGGAATTTCATCCCAAATAAGGGTGGAATGAAAACTAGTTGGAACATGTTGAAACCACCAACCAAAACCCGCCAATGTCTAAAGTGGATCGATCCGGCGACACTACAGTTGCACATGGTTGCGCCAACTATGCAGCAAAACAGGCACATGTCCAAAACCATCATGCAAAATCATGCTAGTACTATCGAAACGAATCGAAACGATTCATGAATTCATGACAATTCATGCTGTGTTTGATTGGTTTCCGACCCGCTCATTTCATTTGAGTCCTCTACCACTCCCGAGACTGGCACGGCTGCCAGCCCATCTGTCGAAGAGTCAGGATGAGGATAAGGCTTATCAGGCCTGCAGACCCGAGTATGCCAACATGAGCCGACAGCAAGAATCAGCCAAAACATCCAAAAGAAAGCCTCGGCAAACACTGCAAACTATATCACGTGCGCCCAATCAAACCCCACAAAGTGGTCCCCCTATATAACTTCCGCCAAATATGAACCGGCGAGCCCTGGCAGTTCCGACCTGAAGCAGCTAGGCCGGCGATCTTGTGCCACTGGCATGTCCTGCCCCAAGAGCAATGCCACAGAAGCACAACAAACAAAAGCTAAAACAACAACCATCCATACACCAGAGCTGTGCTTGGCTTAGGCAGAATGGCTTCACATGGAACTGCGGACCTCCTTTGACCAAGAACCCCTTCTTTATACGATTCATTATGTATATATATATATACATTAAACATAAATACTATAATGTGCGTGTGTGTGTGTGTTTATGCTATTGCATTATTGTGTAATTAGTTGTGTCGTCTGCATCGCCATCCAATTCAGTCACTTAATACAGTGGTTGTTCTGATTGGCTTGCGCCGGTCGTGCCTCCTGGGTTTTTTCCCAAATCTCCAGCTGGCACTTGGCACGAGTCAAGTCAACGCCTGGGAGAACTTGGTTTCGGTCTTGAAGATACTTGGCGTCGATTTCTTTCTTCAACAGCGATTGTCATCAAATCTACCATTTCCAGGACCCCTCCAGCACTGACTAAATAGCACAGCTCCTGCCAAACTATCCACCAAGATTGCACAAGAAGGGCCAACATGCCAATGCCAAGCTACCGAAAGAGGCTCCGAAACATTGTCTACATTCTTCCGTTGCAGCTTTCAGCAACCAAGCATCCTACAAGGAGAACAAGGAAAAGATCCCGGTCAAACCTGCTTGGGATGAGGAGGCGTTCTATCTTCATTCACTTCGCTTCATTTTGCATACTGTATTGCATTGTAGTAGGCTGATGTAGACTGTATAACAAACCGGCACAGACAGGGGGTTGAACAAATGAATCTCGGCCTGTCTCCAATGCACATATACAACAAAAGATTCTGAATATTTGGGCCGCAGGCCCGGTCCTCCACTTCCATTGCTGCTTTCAAGAGTGCAATCCTGAGCATGAATGCCACACCTTCCCGTTCTGCCAGGGCACATCTTGGGGGGGCGTTTGTTGCAACTTACAACATCCGGATATTCATCCAGCTAAGCATGGCTGGGTTTCGACTGCTGATTTGCCTGTTGGCATATAATTATATAAATGTTTCAGTTACCTTGAATTTTTGCAAAGACGCATCGGAGTCATGAGAGAATCCGCCGCAAGCAGCTACAAAAAGGCAGCAAACGCCAGGACTGCTCAAAAACGAAGAAGTGTTGGGCATATGTTAATTCCAAACATGCCCAGAAATAAAAAAACATGATTGACGTGATTGTCTTCTGGTTTCTGCCCAAATGCTCGCGCTTGCGCTCGCAAAGCCTGAGTCTTGCCGACGGCAACCAACGGGTTGGGTTATCAAGCTGAGACCAAAGGCTTGGACGGGAAAATTTACCAAAACAAAACAGTGAAATTGTATCCCACCTGGCAGACTGTCGCGCAAGAAAATTGAATATTCTCAGGAAAGTGACAGGTGGAGTTTGGCTTCTACCTTGTAGATCTTCACGTGGTCCTGACTCTTGTGCACAGAGGATCTTTCGACCGAAACTGACTATCCATGCGATACATGGCGATACTTGCTTGCATCACGAATGGTACTATCATAGTCCGACCCAATCAATGCCCACAAAACATTTTGATCTAGTATATACATGTTAGATAATGAAATATGAACACATATCATATATTATATGTGTGTATATGTATACGTATGAAATACGTGCACAACTCCATATTTCAGTTGTTAAAGGGAAATCAACGTGTTAAAGGGAAATCAACGTGATTCGGCCGCGGCATCTGCGACGTCGGAGCCAAGTCCTGAATCTCAGCAGCTCGAGCTTGGTCGATGCATCGTTGCAAGGCGATCCTGAGATCAAAAGATTAGCTGAGAAAACGATAGGATATGATAAGACAAAGAAAGTTTAAAGAATTCAATTATAAAATGGGTACGGTATGATTGAAGGAAATTTAGAAATCAAACTTCCGACAATATTGACAGATGGAAAAGCAGAGGTGGGAAGAGTCAGAGAGGAGAAGAAAAGAAGAGAAAGATCAGAGAAGAGAAGGAGTCAGAAGAAAGAGGATGCAGGTGCGCGAAAAGGTAGAAAAGTCGCAATTCGCTGTGTTTTTCCCAAGGTTTGTGGCTCTGGAATGCTCTGGGGGGTCGAAAAGTAAGCTCGCCAAAGCGGCGGATGCGGAGACATTTGGTCAAATGAGAGATGAAAAATTGCACGCCGTTGTGGCGCGAAGCACATTTCGAAGTCAAAAGTGCAACAAACTGAGGGGCACGGATCATTTTTGGACGTTCAGATGTGGTTCTGCATGGCAGGCGCGAGGGATTGTGCACCTTATCAAACGTGAGCAAAACGTGAGGGTTTTTTTGTGGCATTTCCAAAAACGATGGCAGGCGTGGACATTTGAAGAGGATCTGCAAAGATGCATTTTGCATGGCAAGCGCAGTACAAGAGACATGTTCATCAGAGCTGTTAGGAGGTCCGGGCGCTGATTTCCTGGTTTTTGATGTTGTCAACTTCGAAAATTGAGGAAGTCTCGCAGAATTGCTGCGCTTCTGATGTTGTCAAGTTCAAAAATTGAGGAAGTCTCACAGTAGCTTCGTTTTCAAACTTGCAGATAGACAGATACATACATACATAAATACATACATACATACATAGATAGATAGATAGATAGATAGGTAGATAGATAGATAGAAAGATAGATAGACAGACAGATAGATAGATAGATAGACAGACAACTACGATTACAACTACCACTACCACTACACCACAACGACAACAACGACAACAACAACATCATCATCATCATCTACTACTACTGCTGCTGCTGCTACTGCTACTGCTACTGCTACTGCTGCTACTACTACTACTACTACCACTACTACTACTACCACCACTACTACTACTACTACCACCTCCACCTACTACCTACTACCTACTAACTACTAACTACTAACTGCTAACTACGAACTACTAACTACTACAACTGCTACTACTACAGCTACCACTACACGACACCACACTACAACTACTACACTACTTCACACTACGCTACACTAGGCTACACTACACTATACTGATACTGCACTACAGTACACAACACGACAGCACGCTACACTACAGCACGCTACACTACATTACACTACACTACATTACAACTACGACTGCGGCTACACTACACTGATTACACTACCACAACTGCAACTCACCTACACTACAACAACAACTACAACTACAACTGCACTACGCCACACTACATCCAGCAGTTGTGGGTGAGGTGACCACTACAACCATTGCAACCACTCCAAAAAACACAACTCCAACCACCTTCCGGTCCATCAGTGGATTCGCTCTGCTATCCGTGATTCACAACAACCAACCTCTCCTATAGGATCTATAGGTTTCCTATATTTGAAACTTCCGCCACCGCCTTGTGCGGTACTACTGGTAATAAACCCTATCATTCTATCATGTTCATTAGATATTGTAAAACCATGACCATCATAAACCATATGATAATCATAGAGAAACATCAGCCCTACCACGATTCAGTTGAAAAAGAGGATCGCCCGTGATTCTAGTGATGCTTCCTTCACATTGGTGTGCTTCTGCAAGACGCTGGGTAGAAAATGTCACATCAGAGGTATTGTTGCGAGGCTTTGCGACATAAGCAGGCCAGACCCAAACCGATTCAAATCACAACATTATATGACAACATGCTTGATGCGCATCACCTTCTGTTGGCATCATTGAACATTTCTCCAGGGCATTACATAGATGGTACGCCTATTGCCAGGATTTGAAGATTTTGAAGGGATTTGACTAGAATTGCCAAGTGTCATTCCCACCCCGAGCACTTTGCTTTGCTTCCTTGCAAAGGCTTGTAGTGCGGCGTCAAGCCGCAAGGGGACCGCAGCCTTGAATGGTGCAAATCTGAATCCATCGTTGACCAGGTGGGTCACTAGACCGCCCCTCCCTAGACCTTTAGACCCGGCCTTTTCATCCTCAAGTTTTGCAATGGCCAGCTGCACCACTCCGGTGCCTGTAAACTCAAAGCAACTGAAATGATGGAAACGCATGGAAGTGGATGGATAGTACGGTTACGGTTGTATTATACAAGTTGTATATGGTAGAATATGGTAGAATTTCTCGGTAGAATACATATTATATATGGGACTTTCATTCACTGTTCAAACCATGGAAACTGAAAACCACCAAAGAACAGGTGGCAGGCACGAGAGCGGCAAGGCGAAGTTTGCCCAACCTGTGGCATCTGCAAAGGCAGCATTCTCAAGGCCAAGTTCTCGCGCCATGCTCAGGCGCGAAGACAATTGCCTTTGTCGCAACACGTGGCATGTTGGGCATTCTATGCCATTCCAGGCCAAGGATGACACATGATGAAATAGGATTCAATCTTTTTAGAGTATTCATAGAGTCCAAATCAAAGGCCATCAGAAGATCACAAGCATGCACGACTGTCATGTTGACAGACAAGCGTGCATTGGCATCCTGACGAATTTATCCTGACTCTCCAAGAACAAGTGTGGATGCAATATGATGTAATCATATGCAATCATCGCATGCCATGCCTGATGCTGCCGCTCTGAATGGCCTCTAGCAAGCCCAGGGCAGCCCTGCACACAGCACAGCAGCTAATGAGGGATCAAGGCCAGTGGTCTTTCCATTCCATGTCAACCCCTCGGATCATCAATCATCCATGGGTTACTGGGGTTACTGTGTGCCAGTTATGCATAGTTCCTGGTTGATCCTGAGATACAACTTGTATGAACTTGTGGGGAAAATATCCCAAATGGCTCCCCCCCAACAGCAAGCCTCTGAAGGGCCATGAGCTGCTCAAAGCACTGCTGCATTTTGTCCAGGTCCTTTGGCTGCACCGCACCTGTGTTGAACAACTCGAGGGTTGGCAGTTGCATGCAGTTGCCAATCTAAGGTAGAAATTCAGGCCACTGAAGCATCTGAAGCTGCTGAAGCCTTGTCTGGCTTCTTCCAATGCTTTGGCTAACCTCAGACGCGTGTCAAGGCATCAAGGAGCCAAACTCCACAATGATACCAGTACTAGCAATGATGAAACGAAAAAACATGGGCAGGATATGCTGGTAGAATCTCTTGTAAACTCTGGAGCATCTCTGGGGCAATGGACTCTGACAAGTCGGGATTCTTGGCCGCTTTGTCCAAAAACTCCTTCAGGTACTTGTGCTTCTGTCCTGCTTGGGCGTCCCATCCATTGAACACACCCAACTTGCTCATGGGTCCCAATCAAGACTGTGAAAAGTTTTCAGCAAGCTGCATTGCATGAGTCAAAAAAAACTCGCATGAAATACTCCGCCAAGTTTAAGCTATAAGATTTGCAAAATTCGAAGGAAAAACAGCAACAACTCAATGACAGGCCTTCGCTATCAGATGGTGAACTTGAAGCCAGCACTTGCTGGCCAAAACCTGGACTTGCCAGGCACTTGCCAATGGTCAAATCTGTTGGACGTTGCTGCCGCACAAATGCAAAAGAGATCAAAAAAGTTAGAAACAAATACATCCAAATATATCCAAATATGACATGCAGAACACCAGACACTTCGGACTCTTATTGTCAGAGAGCAGTTTTGTTTTCTTGTTGGAGTGCTTTGAGAAGAGATCTTCTGTGCCAACACTGCACGTACAGTAGCCCAAATCTAAGTTTACAATGTATATATAATATTATATAATTAATTATATATTATATATATATAGATAGACAACCGAAAACATGGAGAGAAGACCAAGAAAGAAAGTCCGCATGCAAAAGGAATCAGAAAGATGTGCTGCCCCTGCTTCCGCTTCATCTGTAAATGCACACGCCCACACACACAGACAAACAAGCACATTATATAGATGATGTATGACTTGGTAATTGATGTCATGTGTGCTTGTGTGTGTGTGTGGACTGGAGAATGTGAGTGTCGCAAATGACAATCTGCCCATCTGCCCTAACAAGCACCAATCGGCCATGAGTAGACCTGAACTGGCCTGATGTATGGAAGTCTCCGTCACCGTTAATTTCGGTGATGATCTGAGAAACAGCGATAGCGACAGCCATGCTAAACGGCATCGGGCGAGGCCTTTGCAAAAGGTGCAGTGAAGAAATCTCTGAGTGGCGTGCCACTGGCGGAGTGGAGGGACGCGAGAAGGGAGTCACTTTGTCACTGGAAGTGCTGGCACTGCCTCGTATTGGGTTCGAATATTGCTGGTGCGACAACGTGGATGGGGCTGCGATTGCATTCATTCCGAGTAGACTACCCAACAGTTTACGTTTCGCACGTGTTGGACGTGTTGGAATGGATCTATAGTCTTCATCCTTCGAATCCATTCCTCTGAGTGAAGCCAGTGATTATTGTCGGCCTTCACTGCTACGATGACCGTCGCGTTCATTCCTGCACATGGCCGCTGCATGATCACAGTCTCGTGAGATCTGTGCTGTTGCCATCTGTTGCCTGACAACTACATGTACACCCGAATAACCAATACCTAGCTGAAAAATGCTAAAAGTGTGTGGTTAAATATAATATATATATATATATATAATTAAATTATAATTATATAATTATATATAATCCCAGAATCCCGTGCAACTGTGAGCTACTGCGACTATCCATGCCATAGGGCAGCGATCCATCCTCCGTGAGATTTGGGGACTCACTGGGTCGTGCCACAAACCAGTACCTCAGTGCGGTATTTCTGCAAAGGTTTCACCAAAAGTTTGGAATTTTGTTGTGTTTTGTTGTGCCCTGGAACTATGGCAATTGCACTTCAGGGGTTGTGACCAAGGAAAATAATGGTAAAAATGCACATTGATGCACATTGTACATTTGCACATGCATGATTTTCATTACTTTACACCCCACATTGGAACATGAACGCTTCCACAACAGTCAGGCAGGGCGCAAAACTCACAATTACCTTAATTATTCACCCTGGCATCTCGTCAGCCAAGGGTAAATAATCTTTTAAAATACCAGAGGCGGTGGCGGAAGTTTCAAAATTAGGAGGCCTATAGGCGAGGTTGGCTGTTGTGAATCACGGATGGCAGAGCAAATCCACTGATGGACCGAAAGATGGTTGGAGTTGTGTTTTTGGAGTGGCTGCAATGGTCGCAGTGGTCACCTCACCACAACTGTTGGATGTAGTGTGGTGTAGCGCAGTTGTAGTTGTCGTTGTAATGTAATGTAGTGGAGTTGTAGTTGTAAGTCGTAGTTCTGATGTGATGTAATTAGTAATTACCGTAGCGTAGTTGCAGTTGTAGTCGTGGTGTGGTGTACGTAGTGTAATATATTGTAGTGTATTGTAGTGTCTTGTATTGTAGTGTATTGTAGTGTACTGTAGTGTTGCGTGCTGTAGTGTGGTATAGTGTAGTGTAGTCTAGTGTAGTGTAAAGTAGTGTAGTTGTAGCTGTAGTGTATTGTAATTAGTGTAGTGTAGCGTAGTGCAATGTAGTGGTAGTTGTAGTTGCTTTTGTAGATGCAGCGTAATGTAATGTAATTAGTGTAGTGTAGTGTTGTGTCGTGTTGTGTAATGTAGTGTAGTAGTTGTAGTTGCATGTATATTTGTAGTTGTAGTGTGCTGCAGTGTAATTAGTGTAGTGCAGTGTAATGCAGTTTAGTTGTAATTGTAGTTGTAGATTTGGTGGTGGTGGTGGTGGTGGTGGTCGTGGTCGTGGTCGTAGTCGTAGTCGTAGTCGTAGTCGTAGTCGTAGTCGTAGTAGTAGTCGTAGTAGTAGTAGTTGTTGTTGTTGTTGTTGTTGTAGTTGTAGTTGTAGTTGTAGTTGTAGTTGTAGTAGTAGTAGTAGTAGTAGTAGTATATAGTTGTTGTTGTTGTAGCTGTAGTTGTAGTTGTAGTAGTTGTTGTTGTTGCAGTTGTACTTGCAGTTGCCGTTGCAGTTGTAGTTGTAGTTGTAGTTGTAGTTGTCTATCTACCTGATTTATCAATCTATCAATCAATCTATCTATCTGCAAGCTTGAAAACGCAGCTATTTTGCGAGATTTCCTCAATTTTTGAACTTGACAACGTCAAAAACGAAACAATTCTGCGAGACGTCCTCATTTTCGAAGTTGGCAACATCAAAAACGAAACAATTCTGCGAGACTTCCTTCAAAAATGGAAAGTTGAGTGCAGAGCTGATGGCCTCGTACCAATGCGTTTTGCGAATTTTCTACTCCACCTGTCTAAAGTATTGCGCCTGCCACGAAAAAATGATGCCAGGTCATACGAAGTGCTGCACCTGTCACGCAAAATCATCTCAGCAAACCTGAAGATCTGAGGCTCCAAAATGTAACCCTTCTCAGGAAATCAGCGCCCGGACCTCCGAACAGCTCTGATGAAGATGTCTCTTGTACTGCGCCAGCCTCGGAAAATGCATCTTTGCAGATCCTCTTTAAATGTCCCACGCCTGCCATCGTTTTTGGAAATGCCACAAGACCCTCACGTTTTGCTCACTTTTGACAAGGTGCACAATGACTTGCGCCTGCCATGCGGAATCGCATCTGAACGTCCAAAAGTGCTCCGTACCCTTCAGTTTGTTTGCACTTTTGACTTCGAAATGTGCTTCGCGCCACAACGGCGTGCACTTTTTCGACATCTCAACTTCCCAAAGTGGTCCGAACATGGTGTGTTTTGTACATTTTGACTTGGAAATGTGCTTCGCGCATCTTCGCGCCACAACGGCGTGCACTTATTCGATGTCGCAACTTCCAAAAGTGGTCCGAACATGGTGTGCTTGTGCGTTTTGACTTGGAAATGTGCTTCGCGCCACAATGGCGTGCATTTATTCGATATCGCAACTTCCAAAAGTGGTCCGAACATGGTAAGTTTTTTTCACATGTTGACTTCGAAATGTGCTTCGCGCCACAACGGCGTGCAACTTTTTATCTCTCATCTGACCACATGGCTCCGCACCCGCCGCTTTAGCGAGCCTACTATTCGACCCTCCGGAGCCACAAATCATTGGAAAAACACAGTGTTAGGCGACTTTCCCACCTTTTCGCGCACCTGGATCTTCTTTCTTCTGAGACTTTCTCTTTTTTGATCTTCTTTCTTCTTCCCTTCTCTTCGCTGACTCTTCCCATCTCTGCTTTTCATCTGTCCATATTGTCGGAAGTTTGACTTCTAAACTTCCTTCGATGATGACACATCCCACTGTGCACGAAAGCGAAGCAATCCTCCAAGCGGAAGGCAAGGAGCCGTCAGAAATATCAGAATCCGCAGCATCATCTGCCTGGAAAACAGAGGCGATGCGAGCCCATCCGACAATCGAGAAGGATTCTCACTATGGCTATCTGAGATGCTGAGAAGAGGAAGCAAGAGCTGCAACCTGCTACCCCAAGAGAGAGAGAGAGAGACGGTGAGATAGTGGAATTTTCATGAAAGCAATTGCATTTTAAAGATTTTTAAAGTTGATCCTCTGACTCTTACTTACCATGTTGTAACATGTTGTCCCTGCTGTCACACGAAATCAAGGTCGAGAGATGGGGCCTCTTGAGGGGGGTGTTCGCCCAAGAATGTCAGACCCATCCGCGTTCGCTCCTTGAGGGCGCCACTGGCGGGCAAAGCGAGCTGAATGATATGTGAGCACCATATAACTACCATAAGTTTATCTCAGGATAAGATCATGATTTGCACTATCTGACTCAGCATCTGGCATGCTCACATCTGACAGCACGGACTGCAGTGCATACTTCTGATCCATTCTGCACCCCTACCCCTCATGACTTTCATGACTTTCATGAATCATCTACTTCCGACACGTTCCAGCTTCCAACCTGTTCCAACCCACTGGGAGGCAACTCCTGGCCCGGCCATGACTGCAGCCAAGGCTCCGAATTCCGAAGCCACCGCTTTCTCTCCCTGCAGGCGGTCCAAAAGAGCAAGCTCTCGCAGCACTTGCCCGCTGCCATCCTTAGAGCCCCTTCTCCGGTTCCGAGTGTTCCAATGGTTCAAATATGTTCCAAATGTACCAGACATGTAGAAACGTGGATGTTTGCTCCCAAGATACTACCAAAATCACCCAGAGAAAATAAATAACCAACTGACCAGAATTGCAAAGAAAATGATTAGAACAAATCCGACTTTAGATACCATAGGTAGGAATTGAAACTATACATTGACTTGAACGTGGCCATCATTTCGCACCACCCTCGTGGGAGGCTGCTTCGCACTGATGTTCACGAATTGTGCAGCTTCGGTACATGGAGGACTGCAGCTGTGCCTGCAGATGGATTGAAAACCGTGGACATCCCCATTCCTCTAATGTCAAAAAATAAGAGCACCCAAAATCAGCAAATCCATGCAAATCCTATATTTAATTTTAGGGGAAGGCCCCCCTGGTCAAAGAAACGCAATCAAACGCAATCAATCACAATCAACTGTACAGAACGGTTGAAGAACGTCCCCTTATGACGATCTGTACGTCCTGAACTGTGCCATGCCATGCCACGCCTGATGCATGCTCCGCATCTTTCGCGCTGCTGCAGCCACCAGCCAGGACTGGCGCTGAAGCTCGACCTGAAGATAATCGATAGGATTTGGAACGTACCCTTCAACCTCTGCGAGGATCATACTGTGGGGATCATACACGGCGCATAAACATCCGTGGCTCCTTAGATCTTCCTAGGTTCTTGACTGATTCTCTGCGCCACCAAAGAGAGTTGGCTTTGCTGGGCCAGCTTTGCATCGTGTGAACTTTCAGGAGCTGCATTTATAGGTCCGCACGAAGCTGCAAGTTATGAATTTTGCAAACTAAGAACCTGTTGATTCATATCTGGCCTCCTGACGATTGTGCCCAGTGCCTGTCCAAAAGGATGGACCTTCTAACAAGAACAAGTTGTGGATACCTCAGGATATCAATGAAGCTAAGGCCCATGGATATCCATGGATCCCTTAGTACTTGCAAGGTCCTGCACGTTTTTCCTTCTTAAAGCAGCCAAAAGTGCCCAATGCGCCTGTGTCAGTCCTCCGCTACCAGCATAAACTGCTCCAAAGAATGCCACTGGAAGCTGCTGCGGGTTCCAGCGCAAGGCTACCTGGACATGAACGCTAGTGTTCAAGAAATGCCCCCAAAATGTTGACTTCCTCTTTCACACCAGGTGCGAACAATGGCAGCGCTGAAGTAATCATCGCTTACTATGTCTTGCTACATGTTACTTACTTGTACTTAGTTTAATTCAATATTGCTACATATTATTTCCAAATATCTGTCATTATCTGTCCATATCTGCCCATATCTATGACAAAGTTCGATGACACCCATGGCACTGCACGGTTTCGCCATGGCCACCGCCTCCAAAACTCGCGTGGCCACTTTGGGCGCCACCGCCGCGGCCGAGGCCGCCGCCCAGGCAGCGCTCTCCGCGGCTTGGCAGAGCTCCTCTGGCAGCTTGGTCACGTCCTCCAGGTTGTCTTGGGAACGCTGGGAAGTTGGTTAAGCCAAAAATGTCGAAACATGTCGAAACATGTTCATTTGTAAATGTGTCAGTCTTAGTTGTAATAGTGATTTATCATGATTTGTCTGTATAATACAAGTATGATGTGATGATGAAGTAAGTAAATCAGTAATTATTGGGGCTCATTGATCCAAAATCTGGATCGAAAGGAACAACAATGTAATATAGTAAAATACAATACAATTACCAGCGAGAAGTTTTGGGACGCACTGCCAAAAAAGCAAAGAGTAGCATTGCTTATTGATGGTACACTGAATATGTGGCTATAATATGCTATAATTATAATGATGTCACTTTCATTGAAATATCAATGGCTGTGTAGATTCATAGATTTTCACTGTTTCTGTACAAGGACCGTGCCCTAATGTGCCGTGTGCATTTACGGCCAAACCAGAGGGAAAAACAAACCTTCTTCAACAAAGTTTTTCTGGATACTCCAGGGTTGACAATGTGATGAAATCTCAGATTGCATTTTATGGCATTCAAGAGGCGTTGGGAGTTGTCCCATGCACCTGTCCTGTTGTGGCACTTTGGCCACTGGGCCCAGCAGGCCGACGGGCCCATTGCCCACCAGCACTGCCACGCGGCCACCGATTCTGCCAAGTTGACCTAGGGGGAGCCGTGACGTTTGGGATCCGTTGATAGCTTCAAGGTTGAACCCTCAAGTGTCAGCTGATGTCAGCTGATGTCAGCTGGTAGGTGCAGCTTGGTTGCTCAATTTCATTGCTGACCTGCACTCCCGACACATCAGCACAGGTTGATACGAAGGTAATGGGTCCCCGTTTGGATGCAAAGGCAGGCAAAATGATTACCGAAGGTGGCTACCAGAAGTACAACCCTGGCACACCAGTGGAAGGAGTCAGGAAGACCGCTCCATTCCATGCTGCAAGATCACCCAAAAATGGGTCCAATCATGGCATGGCCCAGGCTGTTCTCAAAAGGCTTGAAAACTCACATCAACAGCATTCAGCAGAATTCAGCAGAATTCAGCAGCTGCCTTGCCATACCTTGCCTTGGCCGTAGTCTTTGCAAAGGATCCAGTGCAGGCAAGGCCACGGGCGGTGCCCAACGCAAACAGCCCAGCTCGGTCAAAAGTTTTGCTCCGTCCTGGAAAGCCAACTTGTTGATCCCAAAATATCCGAAGATCGTCAAAGCCACAAGTGATAAGTGCCGTGGAAAATGAATGTGTGTTCATTCTGAACTTCTCAGCTATTCCACCGTGGCACAGGTGGTGGCATCCACAACGTCTGGAAAACACAACGCCTTGTCAGATTCGGAGTCAGGCTTGGCATCTTCACCCCACTCCACGCCGCCTTGGTTGCAGAAATTAATGAACTCTCTGTCAGTCTTTCAACATCTCTAGATTCTCTCGGTGCCTTTTGTGCCCTTCATGCGCATCAACTGCGTGCTTCCAAGATCCATATCTGTGAGGATTGGCAAACACCAAATATTCCACAGCCAAATGTTCCTGCATGTTCCCGCCAATGACAGCCTGCCAAAGCACATTGAATGCGCCAAAGGGAGTCCAACCGATCCTCGTCTGGTGCAGCCGGTGAGTATTTTTTGCCACAACATCCTGGGAGCGGTCACAGCCATGTGCTTCATGGAATGCAGCGATGTTTGAGTCGCGAAGATTCGCGGCCGCAAAATGATGGGTAAAATTTTGAAAGGGCCAGAGCTGGGCACAGCTCGCAAGATTCACAAGGCCCAAATAGACCCAGTCCTCCTGGCCACCATTGCTCCCGGCTCAACTCTTTCTGCTCTGCCCAAACAGTGCCAAGCCGCCTCCTTGCGTTGCAAACAGCTCAACAATTGAAGATATTGGAGAGAGTAGTGACTAGCAGGAAACTAAGTGTAATTACATTGTGCACATGCTACTTAATGCTCCAGGAAGGAAATGGAACACAGCAAGGCTTGTGAATGGTGGCAGTGACCATCGTCCGACAACGTGCTGTGGTTCCACGTGATCCAGCCGATACTGGATAATGTACTGGGACAAAGTGTCGAAGCATCGCCAAAATTGACAAATGTTTTTGACAAAATAATTCGTGTACATGGGACCTTTTCATACCTCTTTGAGCATTTCAGCATTTCAGTAATCTTTCGTCGCATTGGTCTGAAGCCGGCTCTACTCCACAACATTGCAATTTTGACATATTTTGAGTGACGGTCCTGCGGTGCTCAATCCATGTACTCCTTGGCTGTCGTTCACTGCGTTTGGTCAGGCTGCCTGCGAGATTTGCGTCAAGATGTGTGGCGTGTGGCCAGAGGAGACCATGCTGTCACTATCTGCCACTTGTGTGGGACATGCGTGCAGCAAACCTGCCTGATGTCAACGGCGGCAACGGAGGCCAAATCTGATGAGAAATGAACTCCACCTGGCGCGATACACAGCCTGGTGGCCTGGTGCGTCGCTGACACCACGACAATCAAAACACACTACAGGTATCTACAGCTCTGTAAGGCAACGCAATGCAACACAGATGCAACACAGAGCTGCATAGCTTGCACCGGAATCTTCATGAATTTTCGTTCGCATAAATCTTTAGGCTATTTGAGAGGACTCCTCGCCCAAAGGCGTGAAAGAATGTAAAGAATGTCAATGATTCTCTGTACCATGGGCATCCAAACGCCCAGTCGCCTGGACGTCGCTCGAGCTCACACCACTGCGTGGCCAATGCAAGACAACCTCTGCTTGGGAGGTTATGTTGACGCCGGCCTATCGCAGCGACAAGATTGGCTTCCACTCTTTTCGCATCTTTTTACTTCCAATGCGATTATATAACACTAGTTATTTCATGATATTTCGGGATGCAGAATTGCTCACGGTGCTTGCAAGCAGGGGAATGTCTAAGAAATACACAGAAAAGATCGGAAAAGTGCGAATGTATATTTACCGAGATTTGCGATGGCTTACCACGTGCTTGCATGATCTTAGTAAAATGATGTAAAGTGGATTTGCTGAGCCTCAGCATGAGTGACCCAAGAACGAGCTCTCACTGCCCATTTGTCTCAAGTGCATTCTGGTTTCTGGATGTTTGTGCGGTCTCTCCAGAAGCCTTTGTGCTTCAGGCAGATAAATCCAAATCGGGTTTCCACAGAAACAGACCACAAACCCAGACACCCATCATCAAGGTGTCTCTGCCACTGATTTGAGATCAGGTCCGAGGAACCCTTTGCTGAATTAAGAAATTTTAGAAACTTCATGTGCTACACAGCTGCACTTGTCACTGTATTGACACACCATGCTATCTGTATTCGGTTGTGTTCGCGAGGATACTGTACAATGTGGGGGAAGAAGCATGCGATGCATGCAACAGGATTGCAACAGGATTAGCAGGTGCAGGGAAGATTGATGGCAACTGCTGCATTTTCATTCATTTTCTGTGTGTCACTGCTCTTCAGCACAGCGACGTGGCAGCAAGTTGCTTCAAATACAAAGATTGGCACCTGGAAAGGGTTCCACGTGGCCACGGCGAACCGTGACGTGGACCAAAATCAAAATGACTTTGATAAGGTGTCAGCCCATTCAGTCCACACGGACAAACGTCCCTTGCCCTCCATGCCCTGATTGTATGACTGGCTGAAGAGCACATGCTTCCAGGACGGGGTCCTGCTGCCACTGACGCGCGGCTTGTCATCCACCAAAAGGTCACCCTGAACTTGTGTCTTGTCCCTGGTGATGATCATCCTGACAGAATCGGAACCGGGGATGTTCCAGCGACTTGAATCTACTTGTACCACCTGTACCATACACCCGGTCGGGACAGTCAGTGCAACCTCTGTTTGAAAACAAATCACAATGGGACGCTGCGCATTCAGCAAGTCACAGAAGTCAGTGCAAAATTATGCAAATCAGCATGGGACGCTGTGCGCCAGCAATCATCTATTTCGTTTAATGTTCGGTGTTTTTTACGGCTCTAAAATTAGGAATCATATTGTGGACGCTGCATCTATGCGGTCATTGTTTTAGGATGTTTTAGGTTATTTTGAATGATGTTGGGGAAAAACACAATGGGACGCAAGTTTCACCACGACTACAGTCAAAGTGATGCGGCCAACCAAAGATACAGGTGCAACCCCTTGTGGCGCACGCAGCTCGGTAGTGGGAAGGTAAGCAGCAGCAGCAGCAACAGCAACAGCAGCAGCAGGACCAGCAGGACCAGCAGGACCAGAAGCAGCAGCGGCGGCAGCGGCGGCGGCAGCGGCAGCGGCAGCGGCAGCGGCAGCAGCAGCAGCAGCAGCAGCAGCGACAAGACAAGACAAGACAAGACAAGACAAGACAAGGCAAGGCAAGGCAAGACAAGGCAAGGCAAGACAAGGCAAGACAACTCATGCATTTCCGGCGATACTCTGGCGATACCCCGGCGATACCCTAAATGGAAAAAAGGAAGCCGCCAATCCCCCTCATCATTTCAACACAACCACATCTCCAAATTTCAAAAGGGGAAAACCCAACACAATCCAATTCCCAATGGAACTGACACATTAGGGAAATTCCGAACCTACAAGAACGCAGGTAAAAATATCGATGTTCCAAACCATGTCTTCCAAAACACCAGCTGGACGCAGCACGCACCGACTTCCAGAAATCTTTCCCCCAAACTAAACGCAACAAAGCAAGTGAACGCATTGAGTTTCCAAATGGGGTGTACAAAAAAGAATCAAAAAAGCAAGCAAGAAGAAATAAGTAGAAGGCAGGGGAGGGGGCACCAGCTTCTTTGGCCAATGGCCAACCAAAAAAAAAAACAGACTTTGAGACCGCAAGTCCCAGTTTGACAATGGTTGTCATAGTTTGAAAATTTCAGCCCTGGGCCTCTCCAAGAACTCCGGGCCAAGTAGGCGTTCCACGGAAATGAACTTCTCCCTGGCACAGCTGCCTGCGCACAAAGGATGTGGTGCAGTCACCAGCTTGACATCAACACCTTCATCCACCATCTTGTGCAATGCCTCGACAGCACCTGGAAGAGGTTCCAAGCTCTCGTAGAATCCGGGGGAGGCGATGACTTCCATCACCTGGGCCCGTTCTGACGCCTGAAAGTTCTCCTCGATTTCAAACTTCTCCCGGTTCCGAACCAACTTCTCCACCACCAAGGGATCTTGCCCACTGGCTTCTGAGTAGCGGCGAATGAATTCGCCGTCCCAATCCACGATGGTGTTGTCCATGTCGACCAGCACTGTCTTTCCTTTCAGCACTTCACCCTGCAGTTTTTGTTCAGGAGCAGGCACTGTGTCCAAGAGTTCACGATAGCACTCACCCATGTGTTCGTAGCTGAACTGCTTCAGGACTCGAGCCCGTCCAGCTGCTCCCATCTGTTTCCTGAGCTCCGGGCTCTGGTACAGCCGCAGCACTGCATCACGGATGGCATCAGCATTCCCAGGTGGCACCAAGAATCCTTCCACACCGTCACTGAGGGCCTCCGGAATGGCATCAATATTGCTGCAAACCACTGGGCGTTCGAAAGCCATGGATTCACAAATCACCAGGGGTAGTACCTCATTGAGGGAAGGAACCAGCACCACATCTGCTGCCATGTAAAATCTCAGGACAGCTGCCTGAATGTCCATGATGGTGATGTCAGGCTTCCCAGCCTCATCCTCAGAAAGTTCCTCCCAGCGGCGGCACGAGAGGCCATAGGATGCAGCTACGTCAAAGATTTGATCGATGTACTTGATCTCATGTTCTCGAATGTACCGAGCACCCACGATCAGCTGCTTGAGATTGGTGCATTTGTTTTCAGTGATCAGCTTTGCACAAGCCTTGGCCGAAAAGACTTGTCCCTTCCGGCTGCACACTGTACCCAGATGCAAAACCAGAAAATCCTGATCGGTGTAGCCCAAGGCTGCTCGAACTTGACGACGGTCCTGGGTATGTTTGAAGGCGTCCAATTGCTGAAGCGGAATTCCGTTGTAGATGGTGAGACCTGCCTGTGGCTTGAACATGCCATTGTAGAGGTCTCGCTGCATGTCCGACGGGAAGACAATGGTCCCAGCAGCCGCAAAGGCCTTGCGGATCACAGCAGCATCGATGTCTTTGCACATGAAGACCTCCTTGGCATAGTGGTCCAACTGATCTTGTGGCCAGGACTCATGGATCACCCAAACGCTTGGCATTTGCAGCTCAGCCGCCATCAAAATGATGTCACAGCGCATGATGGTGTTTGCAAGCAACAAACCCACCCGGCGTTTCAATAGGGCACTGCTCAAATCCTCCAGAAATTTGGGCGATGTGGTGTCCATGATGGTCACCTCCAAGCCCAGTTTCTCAAAGTCTTCCTGCATTGGTCCTTTCTTTGGAGAAAAGATGGTCAAGGGCTGGTTATGTCTCAGCAGCCGGGCAATGTAGAGGCAAAAGTTGTTGGCACCATTCCTTTCAAGGCTGTGAGTGAAGATTGCGCAGACTGGCCGCTGATTGTGTGGCAAGGCACGAAGTTGCTCGGGGGTGCTTGGAAGGTCACTTGGTCGAAAGTCGACGTGCTGGATCACCTGCCGCATGGAATCCCGGCATGTCTAAGAACAAGTCTCTGTCAGGCGGTGCCGTTTCAAAGTGTCGCGAAAGATCCCTAAAACAGTGGGAGCTACCGTAAGTATTACACAGAAATATGAATGTCTATATTTCTATATGCATATATATGTATATGTACGGTAAGTATATGTAAATATTTACACATATATACATATACATATGTGTATATAATAAGTGTGCATATATGTGTATATATGTACTTGAGAGGGGGGGACGAAAGGTAGGTCGGGGCATATCTCTCAACATTGTTTTGTGCTCATCCTGTTTCAATATCGAACTTTCCCTTCCCCCTAGGTGCCTCTCAATTTCCTGCATCCATTTCGTTTCATACATAGGCTTCCCCCAGTGGCCTCCCCACCACTTCTTACGTTTTTGTTGTTGCAATATCCGAACTTCCCCGGCATCAACAACTTCTTGCATGCATCTTATCTCAATATCTTAATTCCACCCACCCTGTGCCATAGTCAGTAATAAGAACCACAAGCAAAAAATGTTAGTCAGTTTGTTGGCCAGCTTTGTGAATTAGAGGGGCCAAGGTGCCTCAACCGATGGACGTTCGGTTGAGGCACTTTGCGTGTAGGGATAGGCCTTTAAGGATGTAACCTTCATGCAGCTAAGTGCCTGAAGCAAAAGCAACATCAAGACTTGCAGGAGACGAAACCGTCCTTGTTTCGTGGGAACTATTAAAAGGCTTGTGGCTCAGGGATAAGTGTCGCTGCGAAGGGACGTACTGCTATTGTTTTCTTATCTAACATGATCATTGTCCATGACCTGTGAAGAACATCGAATGGTCCCGTAAAATATTTTAGTTGGAGCATGGAGCGCCTACACAAGACAACGCTGCCCACGGGATGAGTTTTGTCAACGCAATCGAAGATTGAAAAGGAGACCCAGGCCGTACTCTGAAACAAACTAACCAAAAAAAAACAATGGAAATTCCATGAGGCCAACCGTAAACAAAATGCATAGCATCAAATACATCGGGAATTGTTCCAATCCGGACCAGGCAGGATTCGAAGGCCCCCCCCCTTATATGGAGATTCCTTACTTCCAGCCGTCAATTTCCAGGAAAGGGCTAACCACCTCCCCCAGTACTAAACTAGTACTAAAGTACATGGAACTCAGGTAGCCTAGGCTGCCTTTCGTGATATGTCTATGTATTTATATGTGTGTGTGTGCGCGTGCGTGTGTGTGTATATATATATATATACGTATATTTATATATATATATATGCACCAGGCCCTGCCACCCCCCCCTCCCCCCCATGGGATGCGTCCCATATACTGGCCCCATATGAGATCTTCCCCCTCCCCCCCTGTGGTGTGGTGGCGGTATGGCACTGTCCCCCTCCCCCCCTGTGGTGTGGTGGGGGTGGTATGGTATGTTGGGTATGTATGGTGTGTATGGTCGGTCTGGTATGGCATGTTTGGAAAGTATGGTATGTTTGGTATGTATGGTATGTATGGCATGAGTGGTTGGTATTGTATGGATGGTAGGTATGGTATGTAAGTCTGTTGGGTATGGTATGTTTGATATGACAGTATGTATGGTCTGTATGGTATGTATGATTACTATGATGGATATGGGATATTTCCTATGTAAGGTAGGTATGGTATGTATGGCATGTATGTTTGCTATTGTATGTATGGTAGGTGTGGTAATTACATTTCATATGTATTGTATGTATGGTATGTATGATAGGTATGGTATGCATGGCATCATTGACATGTATGGTAGGTACGGTATATGTTAAACACAGGTGGTGTTGTCAGAGTACACAGGTAGTAAATAGGAAGTAGATACAGTAGATACATAGCACATGTATGTATGACTATAGGTAGCACGTAGGTACTTTGAAGGAGTATGTGTGCTACGTAGGTCGCCTAAGGGTAGCATGTACCTAGTAAATGCGAGGCTGGTAGTCAGAAATGCTGCAAAGACCTAGCAAATACGAAGCTGGACCTCAGAAATGCTGCCAATAGCTTGCAAATAGAAGGGAAGGGGGGTGCTACCTGGGGACCCAGCACTGTCCCCATCCCCCCCTGTGGCGTGGTGGGGGTGTGGTACTGTCCCCCTCCCCCACCCCTGGTGTGGTGGGGGTGTGGTATGGTATGTTGGGTATGTATGGTGTGTATGGTCCGTCTGGTATGGCATGTTTGGAAAGTATGGTATGTTTGGTATGTATGGTAGGTATGGTATGTATGGCATGAGTGGTTGGTATTGTATGGATGGTAGGTATGGTATGCAAGTTTGTTGGGTATGGTATGTTTGATATGACAGTATGTATGGTCTGTATGGTATGTATGGTTACTATGATGGGTATGGAATATTTCCTATGTAAGGTAGGTATGGTATGTATGGCATGTATGTTTGCTATTGTATGTATGGTAGGTATGGTAATTACATTTCACATGTATGGTATGTATGGTATGTATGATAGGTATGATAGGTATGATAGGTATGGTATGCATGGCATCATTGACATGTATGGTAGGTACGGTATATGTTAAACACAGGTGGTGTTGTCAGAGTACACAGGTAGTAAATAGGAAGTAGATACAGTAGATACATAGCACATGTATATATGACTATAGGTAGCACGTAGGTACTTTGAAGGAGTATGTGTGCTACGTAGGTCGCCTAAGGGTAGCATGTACCTAGTAAATGCGAGGCTGGTAGTCAGAAATGCTGCAAAGACCTAGCAAATACGAAGCTGGACCCCAGAAATGCTGCCAATAGCTTGCAAATAGAATGGAATTGGGGCTGCTACCTGGGGACCCAACCCATGGGGGGGGAGGGGGGGTGGAGAGACGGAGGACGGGACCATATATATATATTGTATAAATATATATTGTATAAATATATATATATTGTATAAATATATATATATACATATATATATATATATTGTGTATATATATATTGTGTATATATATATATTGTATATATATATATTATATATTATATATATTGTGTATATATATATATTGTGCGTACAAACACGGAGAAGAGTGAGAGAGGGAGAGGGAGGGAGAGGGAGACAGGAGGTGCTCAAGTGTGTAGATAGTTCATTCTGATTCATTCTGAGCCTATTTTCTACTTCGGTCTTGATAGCCATGCCCATGGCTCCAGCCTGCAGGACCTCTTCAATGGCATCATTGCTGAGCTTGTTCTTCAAGCAAACCCCGAGTAGATGTTTGGCTGCCCATGAGTCATCTAACATGGGATGCGGCCCATCCGAATCTGCTACAGCTTTCCCCAAATCTGCATGAGTATGCGAGAGATGGGCATCATCAAGCTGAACAGAAATTGGAGCTTGTTTGTTGAAAGCACATCTGCCTTGAGTGACCTGCGATGCCGCTTGGAAGCTTGGCGTCTTTCCCAGTTTCTGCATGGCATGCAAGCGCCAGGCCGCATTCTCCAAACGCCTCCCGTCGTAGCTCTCATCCTTCAAGGCAGTGAACACCTTCCATGAGCTCAGGAGCTCATCAGTGGAACCTGCCCATCATACGCATGAGACGCTCTCACTCAAAAAAACGGACAGACTTGGAGAACATCTATGTACACACACACATGTATATATATATGCGTAATTATTTGTGTATTTATTTATATATTGCATTTCTTTATCATATATTTATATCGATATACAGTTTTATACAGTTTTATGGTATACATACAAAGTCAAGGGTCTAGAATGATCAAGGCGGAAGGGTCTACAGAGTCTACAATGTCCCTGGGCTATATTGGTCCAGACCCTACGTACTTCAGGGTATGAATCGGTATGAATCGGTATGAATCTACTGGGATCTACCGGCCAAGGTCTTTTCCAAACTGGCCCACAGTAATTAGCGCCCAACAGAATCAAACTTCCCCCAATTTCAGGCCCAGGGACTCTCAGCAAGGGCATACACGTCTGAGCCAAAGTCAATATCTTCCTCATCCAGCAGCCGCTCATTCCCCGAACTCAGCAGCAGAAGGTTCTTCCACGAATTGCCAGATTTCACAGGAGCCATGCTGCACGTCAACACTGACAGGCGTTGACAGACACTGATTGGACTGATTGGAACTGATGTCCTTGAGATTGGACTAATTAAAACTGATGTCCTTGAGGCAAAGGTGCCCAGAATACCACACAGGCATATTAGTGTCTGACAGCATAAATACGGTGCCACAAAGCCTTTGGACGCCTTTGTGCAAGCATTTGCCAGATCAATTTCTCAAGTATACAATTCATGAAGCAATCAACCAACACCAAGTCTGGTTGGATATATGCTGGACAGGAACATCGAATAATCACAGCAAGACTCGACACATCAAACGCTGCCTGCTGCTCTGGCAAGATCTCTCGACCTCCGGCTGCCCAGTGACCCGAGATGCGAACAAGGCCCTGTTGCGTCACCGCAAACCTCGGCCATGGTGAGTATCTACCATAGGTATATACACACAGCCGCATGTATGTATGTATGTATGTATGTATGTATGTATGTATGTATGTATGTATGTATGTATGTATGTATGGATGGATGGATGGATGGATGGATGGATGGATGGATGCAACAGTATGTATGTAACAGTATGTATGTAACAGCATGTATGTAACAGTATGTATGTAACAGTATGTATGTAACAGTATGTATGTAACAGTATGTATGTAACAGTATGTATGTAACAGTATGTATGTAACAGTATGTATGTAACAGTATGTATGTAACAGTATGTATGTAACAGTATGTATGTAACAGTATGTATGTAACAGTATGTATGTACAGTATGTATGTAACAGTATGTATGTAACAGTATGTATGTAACAACAGTATGTATTACTGTATGTACCAGTATGTATGTAAGAGTATGTATGTAACAGTATATATGTAACAGTATGTATGTAACAGTATGTATGTAACAGTAGGTATGTAACAGTAGGTATGTAACAGTCTGTGTGAAACAGTATGTATGTAACAGTATGTATGTAACAGTAGGTATGTAACAGTAGGTATGTAACAGTAGGTATGTAACAGTAGGTATGTAACAGTATGTGTGTAACAGTATGTATGTAACAGTATGTATGCAACAGTAGGTATGTAACGGTAGGTATGTAACAGTAGGTATGTAACAGCATGTATGTAACAGTATGTATGTATCAGTATGTATGTTACAGTATGTATGTAAGAGTATGTATGTAACAGTATGTATGTAACAGTATGTATGTAACAGTATGTGTATAACAGTATGTATGTAACAGTATGTATTTAACAGTATGTATGTAACAGTATGTATGTAACAGTATGTACGAAACAGTATGTATGTAACAGCAGGTATGTAACAGTATGTATGTAACAGTATGTATTTAACAGTATGTATGTAACAGTATGTATGTAACAGTATGTCTGTAACAGTATGTGTGTAACAGTATGTCTGTAACAGTATGTATCTAACAGTATGTATGTAACAGTATGTATGAAACAGTATGTATGTAACAGTATGTATGTAACAGTATGTATGTAACAGTATGTATGTAACAGTATGTACGAAACAGTATGTATGTAACAGTAGGTACGTAACAGTATGTATGTAACAGTATGTATGTAACAGTATGTATGTAAGTAACAGTATGCATGTAACAGTATGTATGTAACAGTATGTATGTAACAGTATGTCTGTAACAGTATGTCTGTAACAGTATGTATGTAGCAGTATGTATGTATATAACAGTATGTATGTAACAGTATGTTATGTAACAGTATGTATGTAACAGTATGTATGTAACTGTAAGTATGTAACTGTATGTATGTAACTGTATGTATGTAACTGTAAGTATGTGACTGTATGTATGTAACTGTATGTATGTATGTAACAGTATTCACCAAAAATAATAAGTACCCTAGATCAGCTGGGTTTAGATCAGAAGACTTTGTGAACCCCCATGCGCATAAATAAACTCAAAATAACTTAAAAACACATTAAAAAGCACTTTTTCACATATTTAAGCATGTTATCATTATCCCATTAAAACGCATGTTTTTATCATTTTTTTTATTTTTATATCATTTTATATCATTTTTTTTTTGGTTGGGATACAGGTAAATTGGTGGATTATATATTATCTGAGGGACATGTGATACCAAACGTGTTATTTCTGGTGTTTTTTTTGAGTTCATTAATCACATCTTTATATTTTCGGTGTTGTGTGCATTGCTGGTAGGTAACCTTAATAAATAATCTAAAATGTCTCTGTTTATACTTCCATCTTTTCCACCCGTTCCTGATATATAAATAAAGCGTCTTGCCTGTCTTATATAATCCCGATGGGCTTCTGTATGCATTTGTCAATCCGTGTCTGTCTTCTGTTGCTTTTGTGTTGGCTATGTTCCTTTCTTCTTTATACAGTGTTGTATTTTGTCTGAATTGCTCATTAAGATTTCTTGCAAAGTTGTTCATCTTCTCATCTAAGTCTCTTTGTTTCTTGTCCGTGTCGTTCATCAACTCTTCTTTTCCTTGACGCATTAATTCTTCAAATGCTACTCTACCTATTCTTTTTGCGAATATATAATCTCATCTCTTCTCTTGTTAATACATGTTCTATTGCTTCACCTCCCATAATTCTCTGAACAACCTCTCTCCCAAACTGCCTTCCCACCTGTCTCAATGCATTAGTCATTGCTATTCTTCCAACTCCTGCTACAACTCCAATCATTTATTTTTATATTAATGTTTGATAAAAATCCTTTCTAATAATAGATCTAATCATGAGTCATGAGTAATAGATAAACATATAAAACTATTTTTGTAGATAGTAAGTATCGCAATGCTCAATCAAAATCTTCGCCTGACTTTTCAGTGGAGTTAAACGAAAACTCAGAAACACCAGAGGAAACAAAACTCTATGTAACTGATATTTCTATTCCAGCGGTGTGGAAATCTACAGAGGTGGGTTTCTATGAATATATTAATATATTTATGTTGTGGTCTTCAATGGCGATACATTAGTCAAAATATTAGGGTATATTTAGGTAATATTATGGTAAACTGTGATTAAAACATGAAACAATCACAAGAAAGAAATCAACATGAAAATAAAAAATCTCAAAAAATCTCAAAAAATCAAATGATGCCAAAGGCGATTACCGGGGGAAATGAGACCGAAACCCTGAAAGACAAATGACTGCGGCAATGACTTCAACAAACATATGCAATCTATAAGCAAAAAAACATAAAAAAAAACACCCAAAAAAACTTTTTTTTTGTTTTTTTTAAGCTTTATTTTTTCATGCTATCATCAAGTTTGAGATTTTTTGAGATTTTTTGAGCTTATTTGAGCTTTTTTGAGCTTTTTTGAGATTTTTTGAGATTGTTTGAGATTTTTTGAGATTTTTTTACTATTTTTAAAGTATTGATTTGAGATTTTTTGAGATTTTTTGAAATTTTTTGAGATTTTTTGAGATTTTTTGAGATTTTTAATTTACATTTTTGCTATTTTTAAAGTATTGCTTTGAGATTTTTTGAGATTTTTTGAGATTTTTTGAGATTTTTTGAGATTTTTTGAGATTTGTTATTTTCATTTTGATTTCTTTCTTGTGATTGTTTCATGTTTTAAGCACAGTTTACCATAATATTACCTAAATATACCCTAATATTTTGACTAATGTATCGCCATTGAAGACCACAACATAAATATATTAATATATTCATAGAAACCCACCTCTGTAGATTTCCACACCGCTGGAATAGAAATATCAGTTACATAGAGTTTTGTTTCCTCTGGTGTTTCTGAGTTTTCGTTTAACTCCACTGAAAAGTCAGGCGAAGATTTTGATTGAGCATTGCGATACTTACTATCTACAAACATAGTTTTATATGTTTATCTATTACTCATGACTCATGATTAGATCTATTATTAGAAATGATTTTTATCAAACATTAATATAAAAATAAATGATTGGAGTTGTAGCAGGAGTTGGAAGAATAGCAATGACTAATGCATTGAGACAGGTGGGAAGGCAGTTTGGGAGAGAGGTTGTTCAGAGAATTATGGGAGGTGAAGCAATAGAAACTGTATTAACAAGAGAAGAGATGAGATTATTCGCAAAAAGAATAGGTAGAGTAGCATTTGATGAATTAATGCGTCAAGGAAGAGAAGAGTTGATGAACGACACGGACAAGAAACAAAGAGACTTAGATGAGAAGATGAACAACTTTGCAAGAAATCTTAATGAGCAATTCAGACAAAATACAACACTGTATAAAGAAGAAAGGAACATAGCCAACACAAAAGCAACAGAAGACAGACACGGATTGACAAATGCATACAGAAACCCATCGGGATTATATAAGACAGGCAAGACACTTTATTTATATATCAGGAACGGGTGGAAAAGATGGAAGTATAAACAGAGACATTTTAGATTATTTATTAAGGTTACGTACCTACCAGAAATGCACACAACACCGAAAAGTATAAAGATGTGATTAATGAACTCAAAAATCACCAGAAATAACACGTTTGGTGGATTATGACGATGGCCATGTGCATATGGTTTCAGACGATAAAAAACAATTTTCTTCGCTTTTTCCATGTTTTCCATGTTTTTTTCATATTATATCATTTTTCTTCGGTTTTGTTCGTGTTTATCATCTTACTGATGGTTAGAGATTTGTTTCCGATCTAAACCCCTCCGATCCAGGGTACTTATTTAGTTTAGTGAAGTATGTATTGAACAGCATGCATGCATGCATGCATGCATGCATGCATGCATGCCACATATGGGCAGCAGACCCTCCCCACTTATTGATGCTTGAGTTTGCTTTTCGCTCAGGACCTGCTTATCACCGTGACATACTTTAGCAATTCCAAGTCATGAACACCCTACAGATGGCATGTGAGAGTATTGTATACATACATTGGCATGAGATGCAAGCGTATTGCACGCAAACCCATGGGTTTGCATATGTCTCAGCGAGTATAGAAACATGTTGAAAACATGTAATGCCTCTCTCTCTCCCTCTCTCTCCATCGCTATCTCTGGGGTTTCATGAAACAGTATGAAACGTTATGAAACATGTGAAAGTGCTTTGCCGCAGCTGTGATACAAAGGCAGAGGAAGATGCACGAATTCATCAAACGAAGCTCATCAGTACCAGATGCATCAACAAAAAGTGGCAAGACGGCAAAACATAGTTATCTATAGTTCATGGGGTTTGTCCCAAAAACTATTATGGTTAACTAATGGTTTTTACATGTTTTTACTAAGTAACCCCATCAACATGCCAAGTCACAACATCCTGAGACTTTGCGGTGCGTCGCTGGCTTTCCAAGGCGACGAGCACATGGCAGCAGCAGAACTGCCAGCACCTCGTCGGGCTTAGGGCGAGGGTGACCGACTTAGTACTGTAAGATATGCATTGGAAAACATACTGTGCATAGACTACATATATAGACTACACACATATGTATATATATATACAAATATGTCAAATATCTGAGTGTCTTTCCAATGTACTAGATTAGTATATTATATAGCTGTTTATTTTACAATATGCTCAGTCAACCTCAACAAAACGCATTGTCACTGCAATATACTGCAATGTGTGTAAAACATTGTAAATAAGCCCATCCACCAAGTAATTAATTACAGTGAAACATACTCACCGAAACGGAGATCCTGCAATACTCGCAAGTTCCAAGTAAGGTGCGTTGGGCTGCCGAATTGAAGCCATCTGACCTGGGAGTGCAACGAAACAACCAGGGGATCACTACACCAACTCCGACTTCAAAGACTTCAGGCAGGAAGACAGGAAAAGCAAAGAACATCAAAGAACGCTCACAAAGAGAGGAATTTGAAAAATCTTGGAAAGTGTTTCCAGCTGCAGCCCGGCAATTTTGTCCAACCATCTGAGCTGTGTGGCTTTCCCGCTCTCAATGAAGACCTTCCCTCCTGCAAGCGTTGTCAAACAGTGATGCTTTTTGTTGGACGGGGAAACCTAAAAATACACTGAAGCTCTGGGTGTCTGGGAGACAAAAAGAAACAAGGCAGAGTGCCATTTCTCTAAAAGTGTGCGGCACAGCAATGCACTAGCCGCTAGTCACTAGCCGTCTGCAAATAACAAAATAATGACGCAATTGGCGAGCAGTTTGTGACCGATTGGGATTATAAGACTTATGACATATGAGTATCCATTCATTTAGAACGATCATTATGTTTGCATTACTGGTCATTAGATTACAACTTCCACACAGTAGTCAGTAGTCGTCAAAATCTTCGATTCGCCGCATTGGTTCGCGATTATTCGCGATTGGTGGACGATTGGCCAAGCCCTTCAGATGGGCCCTTGCCCACAAGGTTGCCATGTCACTCTCATTTTCCAATATTCGATACTAGGGTACCATCCGCAAGTTCCAACGCCAAAGGTCCCTTTGAAAGTTGCCACTCAATATCTCCATTTCAGTTCAATTCAGTAAGTCGACAAATGAAGCTTGATCAACCCGCAATTGGATGCAATTGGATGCAATTGGATGCAATTGGATGCAATTGGATGCAATTGGATGCAATTGGTATGTGTGGCGCCGCGGTTGGCATGCAAATGGCGAGCAATAGAGACCTTTCCGAAACCATAATTATATAGGACAAGCATGGACAACCCCACATACTCTCATCATCTCTCATCACATCATGGGTTGCCGTTAAAATCCAGAGCCGTGCCTCCATCTCACGGTCGTCCCTCAGTTTCACTGTGACATGCCGCCCATGTTGATTTCAACTCATCATTCTCATCTTCCAGAAATCAACAAAAGGAAGCGGCATACGAATGCACTCCTCATGCCTGCTTTTGCTATGTAAACTGATGCTCAAGCAGGATTCGTCCAAAACTTATTAGTTTCGGAGTCAAGAACCGCCAGCACGCTGTCAGCCCTGCTGAAGCTCTCGTCTGTTCTGCCATGGTTCTGCCATGTTTCCCTCAAGCTGGCCTTTATGCAGCAAGAGTTGACAAATAGCGTGCTGGATTGGAAATAGTTGGTATTTCTATGTATTTCTCAAAGAACTTCTTCACAATTCTTCTGAGATGTCTTGGCGTAAAATTGCAAAAAAGTCAAAGGAATCTAGAATGGCTTGCGCGCATGTTGCGCAGAATGCAAGCCGGCCTGACATCATGGATGTTGCCAAACAAAAAAAAACTGGCATGAACCTAGAATTGCCCGTATGCAAACACATGTCAAATGTATTCAAATGTCACATGCCCATTCCATGCGCAGGCTACCCGGCACTACAATTTTCCCCTCAGAAATGGAGTTTGAAGCACTCCACTAGATCTGAAGCCAACTTGTCCATTTCAACCTCGGTGTCATGACAAAGTAGTCGGAGATCGACAACGTTCAAGAGGTGCTGCCTAGTCTTGGGAAGCGCATCGGGGAGAATATCATCTGGCTTCAAGTATTGCCAGGACAAGAAATTTCGAGCGTTGGCTGGATCGGAGAACTTCGCTATTCCATGTTTGCGTGCCTGCATGTCTTTCAGGAAGCTATTCAAACCTGGAAGTTCTTCTTCCGCTATGCTGCCATCGCCCTTTCGAAACTGCATCTGCATTGAGTCATACACAGGACCAACCAAACCATGGACCTGCGGAATGAAGTAGATTTTTTTGCTGCTGCCGGGGCTGAGTGCTTCCATCTTCTCTTTCGTTGCTGCCATCAAGAAGGCATACATCGAGTTGTGCTGCTCAATGCGCTCACTCATCACACTCAGTTGAGGGAACATGATGGCACCTTGCATGTTGGTCATTCGGACTGACTTGTTCACGGTCGTGTACTTGTACTGGAGGGCAACCTCCTCTGGGGGTGTCATTGGCCCATGCTTCTTCCAAAGCTCTTCGTAGCTTCCAGCTGAGAAAATGAAGAAGGCTTGCAGGGCCTCATTGCTAGTCAAAACCAGGCCACCCTCTCCAGTGTTTACAAGCTTGTTGGCTTGAGTAGAGATGGTTGAAACCACTCCGAAAGACCCACACATGCGGCCATCAAAAGAGCATCCGTAGCCGTGCGCAGAGTCTTCCAACAGTCGCACCTGATACTTCTCGCAAATGTCCATGATGGTGTGCATGTTGGGAACCCGGCCGCGCATGTAGGACAGCACGAGGATCATGTTACCTGGTGCGAAGTTGCCAGATGCCAAGTCCTCCTTGATGCAAGCCTCCAGGTGATCCGTATCAATGGTCAACTCTGGGGTTGCCTCAATCAGCTTCAAGGTGCTGGCAAAGCCAGCAACCACACATGCCGAGGGCACTGCATTGAAGGTGAAAGCATTGGAGTACACCCTGATGCGATCAATCTCAACATCAGGGAAGAACACCCGCTTGATACCTTCCAGCCCAAGACTGATTGCAATGCCGCCGCTGTTCAATGACAGGGCATATTTCGTGCCAACATACTCAGCAAAGAACTTCTCACACTTCAACAAGAAGTTGTAATCCTCTTCTTTGGCTTGGTATCGGTTCAGCATATCTTTCTTGAAGAGAAGCTGCACATTCTGCAGCCCAACTTCCTGTGGAATCTCCAGGAGCCGGCGCTTCACACTGTCCGACACTGAAGAATTCATGTCGGTGCTGGCCGTATCACTGTCTCCTGCATCATTTTTCACGGGACTCCCAGGCAATTCTGGGGCCATCTTCAAGCTTGCCATGTCCGCAGCCTTCTACAACAAATTGACTCAAGGATTGAGATGGATTGAGATTGAGCACAAAGGCTTTCCATCAGCTGGCACATGAAAAACATTGACAAACCGAACCGCCTGCTCTCACACAACTAGACCATCCAACCAACTCAATGACAGCCACAGCATGTGTCGAGCCAAAGCACCTTTTTGAAACATGCTCGGGGATTGGCAGTCACATTGTTTCAAATGCAAGCTGCTGCTAGATGAAAATCAAGCTTCCTCACCCAGTTGCTTTGAAGAATCAAGCCCTCGTGCAAACTAAAACCCTGTACTATATGATCAAAAGAAGTTTAGAAGTCAAACTTCCGACACTATCTACAGATGGAAAAGCAGAGGTGGGAAGAATCAGGGAAGAGAAGAGAAGAGAAGATCAGAGAAGAGAAAGAGTCACAGGAAAGAAGATGCAGGTGCGCGAAAATGTAGAAAATACGCGATTCACTTGTTTTTTTCCAATGATTTGTCGCTCCCGGAGGGTCGAAAAGTAGGCTCGCTAAAGTGGTGGGTGCAGAGCCATCTGGCCAGATGAGAGATGGAAAAATTGCATGCCATTGTATCCATTGTGGCGCGAAGCACATTTGGAAGTCAAAACGCAAAATCATCTTAGCAAACCTGAAGATCTGACGCTCCCAAAATGCAACCCTTCTCAGGAAATCAGCGCCCTGACGTCCTAACATCTGTGATGCCGCGCGACATGCATCTTTCCAGATCCTCTTCAAATGTCCCACGCCTGCCATCGTTTTTTGGAACTACGAGTGCTACAAAACCCTCACGTTTTGCTCACTTTTGGCAAGATGCAGAATCCCTTGCGC